CCCGAAAAACTTGACCCCGATCTCTTAGATCCCAAAAAGGTATTCGCTGAATCGACACAGCAGTCAGTCGTCTCAAATCCGTAAGTAAAATTCTCCATAGGCTTTTGATAAGTTGCATTCTTAATTCAATCTGTTTTTTTGATTTAATCCATCAAATTAAATTTCCTTTTCTACATTTCTTTCTCCAGTCAATTAATGTTGCAACCACGCGCAAAGCTGAAGAAAGTACCAGCAACTGGCTATGAAAATGAATCTGTTTCTCTCCATAAAACAATAAATGCCACAGATTTTATTCATAGTAACAATTATCTAGAATTATTGGCTTCTGCATACAAAGTAAGTCAGTTTTCTAAAGTAATGTTAGTACGGGAAGATTTGTTTGTCTAATTCTTTCCATAGAATCCAGTCTTCCCTTGAATAAACTTATAAGAATGATTTTATATTGCAGAATTTATTAGCGTAATATTTTTTTGTTCTTTAACAAAATAAGAAAAAAGAGATAATGTAAAATAAATTTCTTAGTTGTGTTTCAGACATCTGCACTTTATTTCTCTTTTTTAATTTTTTTCCATTTCTCTTTTAAATTCCAAATTATCGGTTGCAGATTGTTCTAGATGATGAAAGATGGTTAAATAACGAATCAACAACTGATGAAGTGAAGTGTTGTTTGGAAGATATTAAGGTATGCGGCCCGAGAGAGTTACGATTGATACTGAAATGGAGACGTAATATTATCACGAAAATAAATGAAGAAGGGAATGAAACTGAAAATCCAACAAAAGATGATGTAGTGGCGGTCAATCCTGAGTAAGTTAAAGCATTGCTTTTAAAACCAAATATCTTTATCGGCATTTGTGAAGGTTTCCTGTGATTTCAGAGATGAAAGGATGGCAGAAATCGAACAACAGTTGTCAATGGCAAAAGCAGAAGAAAAGGTATTTTATTTTCTTTGGTAATGCATTCTTTTTTTGAATTCTTTTTACTTATTTTCTTACTATGTGAAAAGTTTTTACAGGCAGCACTGAAGAAAAAGAAACGAAAATTGCTGAAAGATAAAGCCAATCACGAAAAAAGAAAAAAACTGAAAATGCTAGTGGAAGGAGATACGTACGAAATACCCGATGAACAGGAACTCTTCTCGTTAAAGAAACTTGCGATAGCTAAGAATAAACGGTGTGCAGATTCAGAGTTAAGTAACAGTAAGAACGAGAATGAGAGTGATAACGATCAAGGCTGTAGTAGTGATGATGATAACGATGATTATGGGTACGAAAAGTTTTTCTCCTATTGTGGTTTTTTCTTATTTAATCCATATCGAAAAGTATCATTTTGAAACTTGGTTTGTTTACTAAAAGAGCTAGTTTTTATTTCGACTTATTGCTTTTGAAAGGATTCGAATGATGTATTAGGTAAGTGGGTGATTTCCATCTTAGTTGGATCTCAGTTGATTGCTGTTTTGATTTTAACAAAGGTTTTTAAACGTAACTCATCTTTTAGCATAGATGATGACGCGGAAGAATTTCATCACGAGCAGGATCCAAGTATGTCGAAAGCAGAGAAAACTGAAGCTCAAAAAGCAGAATGGTTTGGCCGGGTTGATTTTTGTATATGTTTAACGAAATACTTTTTATGTAGTGTAAAACAAAGGAATTGAAAATTTTTTGGTTAATTTTTCTTTTTCAAATCTTCGTTTTCTCTAGAAAATTATAGGAATGAACATGCAATAAAATATATGTCGCGAATATATGTTAACTTTATAAATAAATTTTATTTCACAGTTGTATTAAAATATAATTGTTTAACCTTAATCAGTTATTGTTTAATATCTATTTCAGCATCAAGTTGCTGAACTGATAGATGATGAAGAAGGTGCTCTGAAAGCTATTGAGAATTTCATGAAAAAATTTAATAACACTTCACAAAGTCCTTTCAGTCAGTTTTTATCCATTTTGATTATTCAGAAGAAGCTTTATAATTTTCCAGTCTCGTTTATTTTTTTAGCGTTTAGCACGGTGTTACGTTGTAACATGTTACTTAATAGTTTATAGATAAGAAGAAGAAGGATGAAAGAAATGATGATCAGAAGTCAATTGCTGATGCCTGGTCAGATAGAAGAAATAATGCAGATAACCAAAAACTTAGTAACGGCGCAGGAATAGATGCAGGAACAACTTCTGTCTTCATGGATGATGATGAAAGCGACGAGGAATATCATGATATAGACAAAATTGATACGAAAACTTCCTCATCTGATATACTGCAGAAAGAAAAGCCAGGTTTGATATTTGTGGAAATCTTTCTAATTCTTGATCAAAATTAGACCAAAGTCACTTTTATATCAAGTAAACTTTTTTAGGAAAAGCCAAAAAATTATCTCCTGAGCTACTTGCACTTGGAGAACAACTAATATACTCATCAAAAACAAGGCGAGATCTGGAAGATTGGGGATGGAACAGGTAGCTTTGGCAGACATGTTTTAAATTTGACCGTTTTGAATTATCACTGTTTGGCTACAAAATTACTTAATAGTTTTATCTAGATGTTATGATAAGTTTGTGGCTTACGGCCTGTTGTTAATTTGGATTTCGTGAAATCCCGGAAAAATGAAAAACTATCCTGTAGCGTTTCACAAATTTGATGTATCCCATCACGTGTTTTATAGCAGTTTAGGTTCAGACTATCACGTGAGTTTATGATGCCTTTGTTTTAACATTCTGTTCCAAAATATGTGTTTTACTTATAACTAAGAATTTTAAGGTATACAAACAATGATGAAGGACTTCCTGATTGGTTTGTAGAAGACGAAAAAAAGCACTTCAAAAAAGAACTTCCGGTTTCAAAAGTAAATTTTTTATGCAGGGCGAATTTTGTGTTTCTAGCAGTTGTTCCGAAATCGAAATCGTGAGAGTCGGATCATCATGACTCATGCATTTTTTAAAACGTCAAATTTAGGATCGAGTGGATTTCTATAAAAATCGTATGCGAGATATTAACACACGGACAATCAAAAAAGTTGCTGAAGCAAAAGCACGCAAGAAAAAACGACGGGATCGGAAATTACAGCTAGCAAAGAAAAGAGCAGAAGGTATCATTGAAAGTGAAAATATGGAGCAAGCAGAAAAAATCCGAGAGATTCGCAAGTAAGCTCAACTCGTATATTATTTCATTTGAGGTGCTTTCCATTTCTCATTATCAGGAAACCGCTTTTCATGACAGCGCTGATAGTTATTTTTTTTTGTAGAAATTAGGTCAACAACTAGAATTAAAACCTATAATTTGAAGGTTATATCGCAAGACAGCCTCATCAATAAAGGAAAAGAAAAAGATAACCTATGCAGTAATGACGAAGGGCAAAAGAGGAAGTTTATCTAGGCCAAAAGGGCCATATAAAGTAAGTCATTGCTGAAGGTTAATGATCTACCGTAAGATTATAACAAAAGAGTTATCTTTATAAATAACAAGTTTTCATCAAAATTTATCGGCTGGTAACTTCCAGTAGAACGGAAGAATAAATGGGTGTCTTAGGAATTTAATGTAGACTTTCCTGTTGATTAACTCATACTTAATGATTTTTGTACTTTTATCGTTTGTTATTTCGGCAGAATGAACGAAATAGTTGAACAGTTAAGTTTTTCGTTCAAGGTAGTGGATGCTCGGTTGAAGAAAGATAATCGTCGTCAAAAGCAAATGAACCAGAAGAAAGGATATAAAGCAGGTGGTAGAGGTGGTAGGCGTCGCAATAGGAGATCCGATTGATTTGAATTCTTTTTGATTATTTGTTGTCATGTCGTTGCTAATGTTTCATTAAATATCTAAATTAATGCGATAAAATTCGTGATATATTTCGTTTTCAGTACCATTTAAGAATCCTGAGATTACTGAAGATATTAACTTCCGGATTTTTCAAATTCTATTTCCGCTCATCAAATCCAGCATAATATCACATAATATTGGTTGAATTAAAGCTGAGTTAATCAGCAGTTATATTCGAATTACATTAATAAAGAAGGAGCTGTAATTCACGAAGCACACTGTTGTCTCATTGCTGAAATTGTTTCATTCATATCTGATTATTTCCTCTAGTTATTGTGATGAGCATGAGGTATGTCCTGGAACAGAAATGTTAAATGATGATCGTTTCAGCGAATTCCATACATTAACTCGTCACAAGCATACGAAGCTTCAGTTTCTCAAACAAATTGCTTCAATACCATTTGCAATTAGTATCCCAAACTATGAATCTTGTTTTGTTCTTGGAAAGAAAAAAAAAAATCAAAAAATTGCTTTACCTGTATTCTCTGGAATTCCTGATTTAGAAGTATTCTTGAATAAGGAACAATTATTTAGGCTTGCAATAATTCCTAATTTTATGTAGAAACCTATGAAATTTTAAAACGACTCGATTTGTAATGGTTTTTGAAACTATATCAGTTTCAAATTCTGCGACAATTTCCATACACATCCATAGCTTAAATCATTTTCTCTAAATGTCAAATCATTTGAAGTAGTAGCACAAACAAGGAAATGCATTTATCGCAAGAACACTGAATGTCATCACACTGATACATTATTATACCTTATCTCATATAGTTATCATTGCTACAGTTAATATATCATCTCACGCTGTTTGCTAATTAAATATGTTATTGAGTAAATAGGCGGCGGCGGCGGTGGCGATTGTATTCATATGAAATAATTATGTTACTGGAAGATTGTTTATTGCTATTATTGAGTAAGCAAATATTGTATGATATGTTAAGGAAGCAAAATATATTTATTAGTTTTAATGGATTATAATATTTTCGTTTCTCTAAGATTATTTCTTACTGAATCGAAATTAAATTTAAATTGGATGATAATGCAATTGACATGAACTGTTACGACGGTGAATTGAAATGACATTGCAGTTCGTTCAAATATTTATGTGCTATTCATTATTTCCAAATTTGGGTGAACCGAGAAGCGTCCTTGGTTGAATGACATTTGTAATGCAAGTGATGATGTATCTCTCTTACTTATCATTTTTCATCTTATTTATCGAAACAGTTGTAAAGTAAGTTGAATTTCTTTCTCTCTTCCTTTTTTCCTGTATTCTTTTTTCTTTTTTTTAAGTCATGGATTTTTAAAGTTTTAATAATGAAAGTCTGACATTTTACTTTTTTTGTTGAAATTTGTTGTCTTTACGAATTTTTTTTTTTTAATTTAGAAATTTTCAATAATGCTAAAAGTTGGATAATATTTATTTGGTAGTAATACATGTAAAAGATGAACAAGTTAAAGATACCTACTTCTTTATTAATTTTTTAATTCTAGTTGAAGATGTAATTGAATAAGACTAGGATGAAACTTCAATAATTGGACATTCCGAATTGATGCTAAAATTGTTATCCAAAATATTTAATAGGAAATAAAATTGCCATGCGGACTATCTGATAGGAAATGTGCAAGAAGTGGAAATTTAATAATTCATTAATAATACCATTCGTCTTCCTTCTGCTTTTTTCTTACTTCCTTTTATGTTCTCTTCTCTCTCAAACCATCTTATGTTTGAACAAATATTTTTTTGAAGTTTTCGATCTATGAAGATGAATCCTCGATACTTCAACTAAGATATCTATATTTCATGATCAAATCAGGTGTAGACATCTAGATGAAATATACCTTAACACATTGATTTAAGATTCGATATCAAAATCCAACATAATGAAGTATCTTAGATAAACTTCAATGCTTTGATTTAAGGCGTCAGGAGAGTGTTTTGGATTTGGTGACAAAATTTGACATAGTAAGTTTTGAATATCTTGGCCTAAAATGAAATTTTGATATGGGATCTAGCACCCTTTTGATCACAACACTTCTATTATTTTTTTTTTTTCAACTTTTTCCATGATCTTTGAAAGTATCATTTTATATTAATCAATTTCAAACTTTTTTTTATTATAAATTAATCATAACAATAATGAATAGTTTTTAAATAAATTATCAACATAATAAATAATTTATCAAAAAAAAAAAATTGTAATAATGAATAATAATTTTTTGATGAAGAAAAATAAATCAATGGAAAAAGAAATAAAATGAAATCAATATTAATCAAATAATTTTTTGCCAAATAATTCTCAATTAATTGTAATTTTACGCATATAATTTTTGAGTAAATCGACATTTTTGCTTTCATTAATAGTCAAAGTTTTTTGATCGATTGTTCTAAACTATAATATTTTGCATAATGTAATTTTTCAATATAATAAAATGTTACATATGAAAAATTGAATTTTATTAAATACTCAATTCAAATAGCAATACTGATTATTCATGTAAAAATTATTATAATATTTTATTACTGTAAGTATTTATACACTCAATAAATGTAAATAAGATGTAAACAAATATATATTTATTAAATTTCTAGAGCTGAATGTCCGAGAAAAAAAATTGAAAGATTTAGTGATCAAAATGAAGCAACAGAATTCGCTAAGGCTCCCGGTTTGGTACCATCGGAAACCCGGATAAGCTGTATTTATATGTATAACTGTAAATCAGGTTAGTACATTAAGAAATATGAATGGAAAGTGATCCCTGTCTAGAATCGGACGAATTTTTCAGTAATGATATGCTTATCGTACTTGATGAAATTACCCGACGGCTGAAACAAGAAGTACGAGTTAATTTAATTATTGAAAAGGTTTGATTTTTTTTTTTAAAAAAAAGAAAAAAGAAATGAAATCTGGAAATTCTTTCGGCTTAAATTATGCTTTTTGATTAAATTAAATTTTTTGGTTAAATTATAGAAATTTTAAAATTTCACTTAAATATTCACTAAATTTGTTTATAGATTTGTATAAAATTATTCTATTATCAATAAAACAAATAAAAACAAACAAACAAAAAATGAAAAAAAGTAAACGTATTTGCAAACTAATCATTTAATATAAGCAAAAAAAAAAAGGAAGAAATTTCTTATCTGAATTAATGTTAATTTAATTTATTTATCGGAATTAATGTTAATTTAATTACATCATTTCAATTAATACCAAGAACAAATAGCATTATTTTTAGTGCAAATTGATAGATAACATTGGAAAATTTAAATGATTGAAAAAATTAAGAGAATTTTTTAAATGATTTAAAGCAGTTAAACACTTTCAGTTTTTATTTTCGTTATAAAAGCTTTTTCATTAGATTAATTGTGGAGAAGATGAACAATTGAAATGTTTGCAATACTCGTTACAAGAATCATTCCATTGGCTAATTATCAATGATCCGTAATTATTGACTTTTTTTGTTTTTGTTTTACTTCCTTGCTGAGGAAATCTTTCCATTATTCTAATTTGTCAAACATTTTCCACAAAGAATTGAAGTAATTAAAAGTAACTCATCGTTTAAACTTTATAATTCTTTTAAATCAGTCATTTATTTTACTTCAAGTTGCTATTGCTTTCATGTTTATTATGTCCGATATGAAGATTTTTGTTAATTTCGGACATTAATACAAAATAAAGATACGTAATTTATGATTATATCGAATATTTTTTTTTTTTTTGAGAAAAATTAAAGATACATAATTTTGAAGAAATTGAAAATTACACTTGATCAATTTCAAACACTTTCTTTTTTCAATATTCATATTATTCTGATAGAATATTTGAATTTCAGAAAAAACGGAGATATAATATATGAAATTGCAGCAAGACTTAACCATAATAAAGCAATTATTGAAGCGTCACTTTTAAAGTTTGTTTTTTTTTTAAAAAATTTTTTTCTTCAATTAAAATTTACTAAATAAAAAGAAAAAATAATACTTTGTATTTAGTGTGTTAAAATTTTATATACATATACATATTTGTTAATTGAAATTTTAAATACTTATTTCAGCTTTATAAACTTTAGTTAAAAATGGCACTATAAATTTCTTTAATCAATTTGCATTTTAGCTGTTATTTGATCTTACTAATACAAAAATTGCCTTTATTACTTTTTAACCATTTTTTTTTTTCAAATAATTTACATCTAAATGATAACTTTAACTCTAATATTGTTTGGATATATCATACTGATCAATTTTAGAAAAAAATTTTACGTGATTTTGCGTTACACAAAATTTTGCTCATTGGAAAAAATATTACTTAGCTCTAAATACGTGAGTTATACGTAACGTAATTCAATTATGTTTTTCTTTAAACAAATGCGTAATAATTGCAGTGTGTTTTCTCAGTACAGTACACATGATTTAACAGTGTACTGTAGTAAAGAAGCTGATAAAGAAGTTGGATTCATACGTCGATTATCGGATGAGGTTGATTTTAAAGTTTAGAAATGTTTGCAGAATGAGAAAATTTTTTGATAATTTTTTTTAACAAAAGTTTATTATTTATAGGAATTAGTTGAAAAACAGCATAAATCAAAAGTGACGAAGTTTAAAAACCCAATTTTACGCTCACCATTAGAACTTAATCTTATCGAACCACTAATACTGGAACGACGGTCATTTGACGAGCAGTTAAATTGGCATCAATTAAAGCGTTTGAATGAAAACGCATTAGATGATGCTATAAGTAAAGATCGATTAACATTTATTCTCTTTTGGAATATCGGTAATTTATATTATTCTGCTTATTATTAAGTTAAAGATGAAAGTAAGAAAGGAAATAAGAAGTAAAGCAGAAATAAAATTTATCATTTTTTTAACAGAATAAATAATTCTTTAGTTTAATAACAAAGCGATTCTTTTCATTATTATCATTTATTAATTAATAATTAAAATACAATACTTGATGATATTGCTGCATCATCACTGCTTATAATGTATAAAAAAGAGGAAATAAATTCTACATTATGGTATGGTCTAATTAATTAGATCAATCATTCAATAAAAAATTATAATTCGTTTAATATTTTGAAGAATTTTAGTATTTTGAAGAGTTTAAAATTAAAAAATCCAATCTAATTCTTTTCTTCTTTTTTAGAAAATATCATAAGTAAGCATACATTCTATTTGTGGGCGGAAGCTTCTAAAACATTAATTTTGCGCCATTCAACAGTTATATTTGCTGCATTAGCATGCCATGAATTTAGTGAATTATGTGATGATTATATTATAAAACCTAGTGATTATCATACTATATTTGCATTCAAGCAAAATAATATTTTTGGCAAAACTAAAGAATTGCGTGATGCAAACTACTACATCGATTGGGTTCAACTGTAAGTTTAGTTTATTATTATTATTTTATAAGCAAATAATCAAATTAAAAAATTTTAATTTTCTGCATAATTTTTAACTGAAAAATTGCTTAATTGTAATTTGCTCTCTATTACAATGATAAATTTAATATTTTAATTTGCCATGAACAACTACAATTACTTTGATATGCTGAAAATTATTAAGGTATTGTGTCAATAAGGTTTAAGAAAAGATAAAAATAAATGGTGTGATGAGCTATGATAACGATAATAAAATTATCAGTAATCATAAAACTGATTGATTGTTTTTCACTATTTGATTGATTTTAATAAATGTAATTGGTATTTTATTATTTGAATTAATTATTTCTATGACGCAATTTTTCATAATTGTCATTCAAGGATGAATGAGAGCTTAAAATAAAAAAGAAAAAGTGGCAGAGTAAACGAAACGAAAGAAATGATATTATTATCATTGGTCTTATAATGATTATCATTATCATTCCTTTGACTTAAACTTTCTTATAGAATAATATATTATTGCTTATAGCCTTCCTTGTAGTACATGAATTTATATGATGTGATAACGAGGATGATAGGTCATAAGCATTTTAATCCATAGAAATAACTAGTTCAAATATTTGAAGCAAATGGAATGACACTAACGACAATAATGTCAACCTCTCTCTCTGCATCCCACCAATAATATTAAGTTTAAATTTAATATCATTGGTGATATTGAAATGATAATGTGGTGGAAAAAGGAAAGAAAACTAATTGAAAGCTGAATTTTTCTTAATTTATTTTAATTTTATATGCTCAAATTTATATTGTAAATGTTTCCTCAACAATTGTATTGCAGTTTGATATTATCACCAGCACAAGAAATTCATTCGAACGATGAACTAAAGCAAATCAAAGCGGGTATTTTACTAAGATCATCTGCATTTTATTCATTGGTGAAATTTCAACAAAAATTTAGGAATTGCTTATTTTGATAATTTGAAAAAAATTGAGAAGCAAAAATTTTCATCTATTTTTTCAATTGTGATGCGACTTAAGATTGATTAAAATTGATAATTAGATAATTAGTAGTGTAGGATGGAACGGTTTGAATTTAGCATTGAATTTTGCAATTATCGGAAAGATTACAAAGTATTTGATTGCTAGTTATAATTGAAAATGTTTAACGAAGGATTTTGTATATTTTAACTTAATAAGTTTTTTTTTTTTTAAAGGTAAATTGGAATTGTTCGACGAAATTAAACCTGCAATAACAGTTGGCATTTTTGATGATCGTAACGGTAATGAAGCTAAAATTTTTATGCAAATGGCAGAAAATTTAAAAGGGAGATATCATTTTGTGTATTTAATTAAGAAAAGGTATTTGAATTTTATTTGTAGCAGAAATTATCACTTTTCTATGGAAACGTTTGATGCAAAATGCTTGGTAATATGAATAAGTCTAACTTAAATAATTTAGTTAGTAAATATTTAATCAAAAGCTTGGCTTGGAAAAAAGAAAATCTTTGATATGGATTATGCTTTGTGTAACTTTTCATTTTTTTCAATCGTTAAACATTTTTTTCTGCAAAAAATTGGTTAAATTATCAGCACTTTAATTTGTTTAAAATTTAATCGAATGTTTATTTTTTCCATTTTTATGATTACTGTATTATTCTGTGATAAAATGAACTTTTTTAATGCAACTATTAATGAATGGATTGATACCTTATGATTACCATTCTTAAAATCTTGAAATTAAATTTTAAAATATATATTAAATTGAGGATGAAATAGTAATCAGTCCTGATTTCAGTCATTCTAATGCTATTTATACTATTCGTGCATTAGAAAAACGGAAACGAATTGATTTCACAGGAATTTATGAAATTCAAGAATTGACAAATTTTGTTGTACAATCATCTTTACCAACTGTGGTGAGTATTATTTAGCAAATACTTTCTTTTTTTCTTTTTTAATTCATTACTTGAATTTTTTTTTGTCAGAATTTTGATAATTTTTTTAGTAGTTTGTCTTTAATTTTTGCTTTATTTTTTGAAAAAAAAAAACAATGACAGAAGAAATTGGTGTTAATTAGAAAATAATCACCTTTTTATTTTAATAATATTTTCGGATGGGTTTCTTTCTTTCTTTTTTTTTTTTCATTTCAAATATTTAATATTTGTTTATTAAATTAACCAAAAGTTTATTAAAACTTTAAAATATACAAGAAATGAATAGCAGATTAAAAAGCAAGATTGAATTCATAATAAATTTTTATTTATTATAATTTACAGATAGATATAAGTAATGGATTTACATCGGATATTTTAACACATCAAATGCAGCCATTAATTTTATTCATTGATAATGGTAACCAAGTGGAGAAGTTCAAATTTACAAAACTGTGCTCAAAATCGCCGTATATAATTTGTACAACAATTATTCTTAATAGGTAATTTTACATTTTCGTAAAATGATTTTCAGGTTTAATAGTTAAACAAAAATTTAAAATTATTTGTTCAGAAAAATTATGATTATCTGCATGAATAATAATACTGTAATGATTATTGGAAGTTAACAAATAAAAGTTGGGAAAGTAAAAATTAATAAATTTAATTATTTGTTTATTTATCATATCTGCAAAGTTTTATGCTTCATTTGCTAGCAAATAAGTGTAGTATTGAATTAATTCTTGACCTAAAAAGGATTTAAATTAATTATTTTATATTAATTTTTGATTCAAATGACTTATTAATACTTATTTTCAAAAGATTTATATTTTTTCACCCACAAAATTCATTTATTTATTCATGTGCAACTGCAATTATTTATTTTAATTCATATAATTATTTCATTTGCTACTTAATTTTTCCTTCATCGCTATTATTTTTCGTTATTTGTTATTTTTTATCTTATCCTTGAAATTATTTATGTATCTTTTGATTTGATTTAGTAAATTAAATTGCCATGACATAAGCATTAATCGAAATTATGTTCAGTGATTTTTTTATTTGAGATGTCACTTGCATTTAACAATTTTAGTTCAAAATCAAAAATAGTTAATGAAATGATCAATTCCCTTCAGTCCAATGATCATTCCAAAAGATTAATCATTTTTTTAAGGGTATGTTTTTGGAATACTTTTTCATTCTTATTTTCTTGAGTTTTGAAATTTAGAAAATTGTCAATAACTAATAAATAGTGATACAATTTTCTGGAATAAATTCAAAATTTAACTGAAATATATTAAAAGTTATTAATTTAATTCAGGAAATGAATACTAGGAATGAAATATACAATGATTATGGATTGAAATTTTCAGGAGAAAATTTATGCGTTAGACATTAAAAATAGTTTAGAAAGTGGAGATTTGCTTCAGCTTATTGCTCTTGCTACTATTAACAAACCGATAAGTTTGAATTTAAATGTTTGAATATTTTATAAATTTGTGTAAAAAAGTGCTGTCAGTATTTCAAAGTTAATATTACTTACTAATAATTGCATATAAATTATTATGTGAAACATGTTGTAGTGAAATTTCAATTTCAATTTAGAAATTTGATCTATGAGATAATGCTTCTTAATACAAATCATATTTTATGCAGGAGATGGAAAAAATGTTTTGGTAAATTAATTTAAATTTAAACAAATATCAAAAACACTTTTTTTGAAAAATTAAAAAATTTTTTCGAAATAAATTTTTGAAAAAAATATCGAGAAAGAGAAGTGTTCAGGGATATTAGATATTGGGGATGTTCATCCACTTCGATACATACAATTGGCACAAATAAATGAAATCTTTGGAGAACAAATAATTGAAATTCCATTCGAAGTACAAATTATTCAACGATCATATTTGGTAATTTTTTTTTAAAAACTTATCAGTATTTATTTATTTTTTTGCTAAGATAAGATATTTGAAAAGATAAATTACTGCAGGACAAAAATGACAAAATGGATGAGAATAGTGCTAATTATGGTGGTTGTCCAGTGATGGCAAAAGTTCGACAAGCAGCAATGAAAGATGAACTTTGACCTTATTCATTTATGTGTTAAATAAAAATCGATTAATACGAATCAATTGATTAATTTATCCCGGAATTCTTCAGCTTAGATCTAATAAACATCTTTTTTAAAATTTAAAAATTTATAGAATTGCTATTTCTCTGTGATGGTTTTAATAATTAAATGCAAAAAGTATTTAATTTGTTATGCAATCTTTATTTTTTTCACTCATTTTTTGGCTATTTTCAAATAGTACTTCAATATAAATCAGAGATTTATAATAACTTACTTTACTTATCTGAATCGATCACATTTATTATCTTATTTTTCTGAGGTTTGTATTACTTATCAGTGCTTCACGGAATGAATTGATAATTATTTGTTAATTAATTTATCGATGGAAAAGTTTCATATTTTTTTATAGAGATGCAAAATTGATTAATATAAAATTTTTCATAGAAATATTGGTGTATGTTAAAATTAAATTACCTTAACGACTAGTATAAATTTTAAGATTTTTTTTAATAAAAATTCTTCAATAATGCTGCACAATTTATTCAATAATCAAAAATAAAGCCAATAATATAGCAGTAATATTTTCAAATTTACTGCTTTTATACTTATATTAAAAGAAATGAATCTCAACAATGCTTTTTTTTTCTTTTGAATTGATTTGATAAAAATTTAATCAATAAACGATAAGAAAATTTTTTTATTATCCAAAAATTTTATTTTCAAAATCAATTAAAGAGAAAAAGGTAAATAATAGTAATATTAATATTAATAATAAGGCACAGAATGGTACAAATATTTCAAGAAAGAAAAGAAAAGAACGCCGCTTCATCACAACAATAAGTGACACTTAAATGAGACATATTTGTGTTGCAGCATCATCCTTACTGTACAAAAGGCATTATTATTGTTGACATAATTATTACAATTGATAAAATCCATAAATGTAATGGATTGCTGCGCATTTGTCCTGATTCTGAAAAGAAATTAAAAAAAGAAAAACTATTTTTATTTCATTTAAAAATTTTTTTTATAAGAACTGGAATAAAAAACTTTTCAAATTTTACATGTTAATTTAGTTAAATGTTACTTATTAATTATAAAAGATAGTGGTAAAATTAATCTTCATCGACTAGAAAAATATATTTATAAATTATTTTTAAAATTATTTTTCAAATAAACAGCGTTATTAAGCATATTTTGTTTAGGTATATTTATATTAAAAAAATATTTGTGTTAAAAATATATATTAAAAAAGCATTTTGAAAAGTTATAATCAGACGATATAATTGCTGAATATATAAACCTAAAATCATCCATAATTAGAAAATAATTATGAAAACACTACGTATTACAAAGAATTAAATGGAAAAAAAAATGGAAAAAAGTGCCTAAAAAAATTCAGATTTTTTGTTCATATTTAAAAAGAAAAAGTTTTAGAATTCAAAAGAGTCAACAAACGAGAAACGAATTTAAAAAATAAGACTGAATAAAGTTTCCTGTAACAATAAGATTTAGAATTTTCAAATTAGAGAAAAAATTTTCAATTTCAGAAAGAAATTACCTTGCATTTTCGATTTTTTCGCATTAATTGTGACATTTGATTTCGTTTTCGGTGATATGTCAAAAAGTGATTGTTGTAGAGAAGAAGTGGAATCAGTGAAATCATTTTCTGCATTTATAGATTCTGGATTTAGTTCCGGAACGGGTAGTGTCGTCGATGATATGCCTGTTCTTCGATGAGATACAGATTCGATATCAGATGATGATGAAGATGAATCCGGTTGTGATACAGTTAGAAGTTCCATTTCTGATACAGTGGTGCTACCAGTAGTTAGAAAGTTGTTAGAATCTGATAAACTGTTATCACTATTCGGTTTTGGCAATAATGGAGTCGTAGTAATGGATGGTATTCGCTGATTAACCGGTAATGCTGTCTGATCCACTGAGATATGTAATGGACCGGAATCAAGTGAAAAGTCTTCTTCTATTTTCAGACCATCAATTGCACCGTAACCGGAAATCGAACAGCTAGGATCAAACTTTCGCACCCATATTAGAAACATGCTTACAACATGCTTTAAAGCTTGCTCGCTGCATTGTGCTGATAATTCAGATGATGCACAGGAAAGCATACTTTTTAGGCTAAAAATATGACAAATTAAATTTACTTTCAAACCAAAATTTGAATCTTAAATTACTTTTGCTAAAAAAGAAGCATATATTAGTTCATTTACTAATATTAAAAATATAATAGAAACATTTTTTGAAAGAAGTAAAAGAGTTTAAAAAAACTTTAATAAATTCAGTTTTAAGCATGCATATTTCAAAAGAAAAATGTTCAGTAGCTAAATTTGCGACTAATTAATCAAATAATAATAATAACGATAATAATGGTAATAATAATAATAACGATAATAATAATGATATTAATAATAATAACGATAACAATAATGATGTTAATAATAACCAATCAAACTAACGTTGAACAAATTTTTTGTGAATTATCTTTAGCCAATAAATCTAAACCAACGAATGGTTCACTACATTTTTTGCCAATATCAGTAGTGATAAAATGAGTGAGACATGGTAGGAAATATTTCGTCTTTGATTCTTCCTTTCCACAAATTGTTCGAAAAAGTGCGATATTTGCTGATGAGATCGGTTCCACACGACACGACATATTTGTTAAACAATTTTCATAATCTCTTATCACTTCACAAAATTCATTCCATTGTGAGCTATTCCTACAATATCATGATAATGAAATTATTGTATAGTTATAAAAAATATTCATTTTATCAATAATAACACTGAAATTTCCTATCACTCTTAATTTATGAGAAGTTTTTTTAAAATGATTTAAAATTGAATTTGTAAAAAAGATCTCTTTGAAAAAAAATCTGATTTCAAATCATTTACTTAACTAGCTAACAACATTAATGAGAATTAAAAAAAACACGATCTAAATATTCTTTATATATTATTTACTGCTCTAATCTTATCTGTTGTATCAATTGTGTTAATTAATATATTAAATAGAAATTAAAAATTTAAATGGTTCAAATATCCTTCATGCAGTTGATAAAGTTACTATAATTCTTCTGTCTTATAAAAATTAAGAATTTAAAGAGTAAGGAATGATAATATAAAACAATGAAAATAGAAATTTGAAATGTTTTTGATGCATGAATAATTTGATGATTACGAGAAATCCCTTCAGCCTGTGATTTTAAATAATTCACTGCAATATCTAACGATGAAATAGGAATTAATATTTATATGGCATTAATTATTCAACAATAACTAGTACCTAATGAATGAAAATGGTGTAAAAGTAAAATGATCAATCAAATTTTCGCATTGCAAATATTCGACAATATCGGACTCAGCGCAACTTGTTTTTACTGATGCAATAGGTATTTGTACACTGCATGATTTATTTAACTGCAATAATATGAATTAGTAATTTTAATCAGAAGTAATGATTAGGAGAAAATAGAGGAAGAAAAATTATTACTGAAAAGTAAAAAATTTCATTTTTATACTTTGATTTTCATTTTCTCTTCGATTAAAAAAGTGAAAATATTTAAATTTTCAAAATTTTCTGAATTTTCAGTTAACTTTTTTTTTTTTTTTTAAAATAAATAATTTAAATGAAGTAATTCTATCGTACCGCATTAGCAAATATATGCATTCCTTCAAAAGATAACGCCAACGCTTCATATCCGCATGTATTATGAATAGATGGCGTGGCGCAATTAGCAACGTTTGTAAGGAAGGAACATTGTTGCTCTGACGCTGTTGGCAAGAATGATGTCAAGCATTTTGATCCCTTTAACAAATTTTTATTAATAAAAAAGAGAAAAGAACTTTCTCTTTTAAAATAATTTTATTACTTTTAAATTAAATTAAATTATGTTTTTTTTTGAAGAAAAAAGAAAGCAAAAAATATGCAAAAAATAAGCAAAAAACTGAAAAAATTTAAATCTGTTTGTGATTAATTTCAATAATTGACTTTAATAATTAATTTTCATCTTTTTTAATTACTAATATTACGATTAATTGGACTAAATTTTCCTTTAATGCTAGCAAAGACATACCTCTGATGAAGTAATAACAGACATCAAACACATTGAATGCTCTTTGTATGTGTCACGCCGAGTGCAAATAAATTCAGCTAATGCATTTAGCGCCTTCTGTTTAGCTGTGTCACATATCGGATATGAACAAGTGGCTAACTTTGATAAATCTACGCATAACTGTAAAATAATATGAAATAAAACTTATTTTTTTTAACAATTTTTCCATTTTTTTTTTTTTTTTGAAATTAAATTTGATAATATATTCAATTATTTTCTTTTAAAAAAGAAACGAAATAATAAATTTATTTTTCTTTTTTTTTTTGCCTAATGCTTATAAAAATTAGGGATGAATAAATGTTACACGTAATTATAACTATAACTTTAAAGTAATATGACGCAGCACAAAAATTAGCGAAATAGACGTAAAAAGTAGTAATAAATATGTCTTCGCATAATGGAATGATTTTCAGAGAAAAAAAAAATTACTTATAACTTTTTGAATTTCTTAAATTGAATATTTTGAATAAAAATGTGAAGGGAAAAGTAATGTTTGATAAATTCTCGCAAATATGTATGCATATATATATGTAAGATATCCACTTCTTTTCAAATTTTAAAAATTTGTAAATAAAGAATATTTAAATTATTTTAAAATTTTCTACCATATCAATACTTGATGGATCTCGTAAAAGCGCAATTGGTAACATTCGATAATTTCCATAAAAATTCCCGGTGCATTCTGCATGCTTCTGTTGCATTTCTGTGTTACATATCTGTGTCTTATCACCACTAACTGATCCTAATTGATGATAATTAAATGAAATTGGACAGATATCAGTTGCACTAATTGCACGTAACACGTTTAATGGTATTTCACCACAATGCTGCACGACAATATGCTGAATGCATTTGATAAATTGTGGTAAAACACCGCGTAATGCGATAAGATTAAATTGCTTCAGTGTTGCTATTGTTGATCGTAGACATCGACCAAATTCAGGTATTGATGCCTATAAAATAATAAAATAAATAAAAGTCATTTATTTGTCAAATGAAAGTAATTAATAAAATTACAGCAAAATTATTAAATCCTCAAGCAATTTCGATGTTCAGTTTCCAATTATTAATATTATTATTTTCATTAGCATCATTTCTAAAGTATTATTATTCGATATTTTCAAATTTAACATATTTTTTAAATTAAATTGGCTTTTTAAAAATATTTTAACAACATTGCATATTATACTATATATTTTCACAAAAATTTCAATAAATCGGAACAAAAAAAAGGGAAGCAATTTTTTTTGTTTGAGTTAACAAATATTAAAAAGTTTAAAAATTAAATTTAGAATTGAAAAAGCAGAAGTGATGCATACATAACCTGTTTAAAAACACAAGCCAAATTGTCATCAATAGCCTTGGCAGTATCAGGCTGATTACATATACCATTACCAGCCTGAATTAAACAACTTGAAATGGTGCATTGCTGCTCGGATTGCTGTTCTATCAATGGTCCCAAGCAATGTCTGAATTCTTTGGTCAAATTACAACCTTTTGCAAACACAGGTGCCAAATTTTTGACATTAACCAGAAACTGTTGCAATCCACCCTGTAAATTTGATAAAATGTAAGTTTATCACTGCCAGAATTTATTATTATTATAATGTCAATTATTTCTATGAATTTAATGAAATTAATTAATCCTTTGTTTGTTCATGAATTAATTCACCGCCATAAGCATATATTAATAAAGAAAGAGTTTAAGTTTAAATTTATACTTCAAATAATTCATCAATTCTGGATGTTAATTCATTAATTGGTGCAGCGCAGTAACTGATGCGAGCATTTTCTTCAATCGTACAGTTATAGCCTCGAATTGATTTATCTGTAAAAGTTAATTTTTATTTTTTCAAATTTATAACTTTGAATTTAAACATAATCATAATCTATGCTTAAATCTAAAGACCATTCTTCCATTTCATAGCATTTTTTCATTGCACGCAATTAAGTGCAAAAAAAGATGAATCACACATTTAAAAAGTAATAAAAACGAATTTAAGCAACTCGCTTCAGTAAATATGAATGTCAAATTAATAATTATGATAAATAGATTAGCAGGTGTTTTAATTGAGAAATGAGTAAGCGTTATAAATAGATATATCGAACTAAATAAATAAGTAAAGTAATAGGTAACTAAATGAAAAGCAAGTAAATAAATTGCAAGCTAATGGTAATAAATTAATCATCTATCTATTAAAATTTAATTATTTATTTAATAAACCATTAAGAACTTATCAATTTTATGTGTATTAAACAGTTTCAAACAATTTTAATTTCGGAATAAGAAATTAAATTCTAAATTATCAAAAAATTGACTAATTATCTTCCATTTTAAATTTTAATTAACAATTACCACTTTGTTGCATTCCAATTTTGCATGTAGGGTCAACAACGTTCACAAATTTATCAATGTAATCGGTAACAAACTGCGCACCAACTTGACCACATTTCTCATTAATTACAGGTATTGAGCAAGCAAGCAATTTTCTGGAACTCTGACAAGCTATTTGCGGTGAACTACGTGAAAACTCGCTTACACATTCACGGATATTTTCACGCGTGGTCGTTTTACGAATGCATTGCCGTACCTAAACTAAATTGTTACTAAATTGTTATCATATCATTAACTGTTAATTTATTAGTCAATTTCAGTTAATTAGTTTTTTTCATAAGTGCATTGGACTAACATTTTAAATTTATTCGTTTGAGAGTTGCAATTAATTGACCTTACCTTATTACCTTGACCTTCCTTAATTTAAATTTATTCCATTATTAGCTTCCATTTCCTTGCACATACTTCATTTTCATCATTTTTTACTTTCTTTCCTCTTAAAAGTTTTCACTCTCTTACCTGTAAATATGTGCTATATCCTGGACCACAAGCAAAATCGAACATTGCTATCATCCCTTTGGCCCATAATGGAATACAACTAATATTAGCTTGACATTTTTTAAATTCGACAAATTGTTTACAGGCCTCGTCAATTTGTTTTGGCTGCTTAATGACAGCCAAGGGATGAGGCTGGTAGGTAGTAATTGTTTGAATGCATGATGCGAATTGCTTCTGTTCTGCCAGTTGACAAGTTGCGACCGATTGTGATACCGGTTGAATTTAAAACGGAAACAAAAAATAGATTAGCATAAAAAAATGGACGAAAAATTGTGAAGTTCTTTTATCCTTAACATTAATTTGATTATACTAATTTGATCTGAAATATATGATTTTAAAAGTTAGCTTTAACTGAATTGGAATTAACAATTAATTAATGATTGAAGTTAGAAAAGAAGCAAAATGGATTAATCAAACTTATTAAACAGTTAGTACAATGATAAAATAATATAGCAAGCTGAAATAAAGCAATTAATTTTACGATTTATTTTACTTAATCATTTTTAATTCGAAGTATTTTTTCCGATGGAGAAATGCTAGTTTTTAACTAAATTAAAGACAGTGCTTGATTTTAAAAGTTAGCTTTAACTGAATTTGAATTAACAATTAATTAATGCCTTTTAATTGAAGTTAGAAAAGAAGCAAAATGGATTAATCAAACTTATTAAACAGTTAGTACAATGATAAAATAAAATTATGAAATGATTTTTATAAATAGACTCAATATTAGAATAAGACCTAATTGAACTGTAATTGTAGTCAAAAATACTATAATAAAAAATATTGTAACAAATAAAAGTTATATGTTCTCAATTAAAAATTAATACTAAATTTTTTAAATTTCTTTTTCAAATTATCTCTTCTTTGAAGGAAAGAGTTTTCTTTAAAGAAATGAATGAATAAAAAAAAGAGCTTATCATTGGATTAGCGATTGGTGTCGCAATTATTGGTCGTGCGATAATTTCATCCAAATTACTTGGACGTTCTTTGGGACAACCTTCTTCGACTCCTAATTCCATCACCTGTCAGTTAATTATTTTTATAGGTTAATTTAATTAACTTTAATAATTTCAGTTTCTTAGATAATTTGAATTTCAGCATTTCACATAGAAATAAATATAACACAAACCAATCGCCATAGTTGTTGCAAATTTTGGATAGCTTCTGCTGAACAGAATTCGATGAAAATTTTCTCACCGCACTGGTATGCATCCCGAATAAGATAATATGAATTGCAAAGATATGCTTCACCATGAATTCCCTAAAATTATGCCAAAATTGGAACTGTTAGTAAAATATTAACAAAACATAAAAAAAAAATAATAGCAAAATATGCAAAACAATAAAATAATAAAAAAAAATTAAATAAACAAATATACTCAATGATATTTCATAAAAAATTAAAGCAATTCTGAACGAAAATAATTGAAAAAAATTTTTTAGCATATATAAAAGAATGTGTTATACTAAAACTTTAATGACATTAAGAAAAGAAAAATGGCATAAAAAATTTTGCATAAATAAAGAAGAAAAAAGAAAATGAGTAAGAAAAAGGGAAAAACTTAACAATCATTTGATTAATTTGATAAAATGGCAAAAATTTTTTTTTAAAAAAAAGCTTTGTCAATATCATTTGATATTAATACAAAGAAAGTTCGAGTGATATTCTAAAAAAATTATCAAATTAAAAGAATAACTGCTTATTATTATCATTTTAGATTCATAAATTCTCTAAGATTATACCAAAATTTCGGTCAAATAATTATTTTACACTACGATATTATTTTATAAATGATTTCTATTCCGAATTAATAATTTTGATATGTTTTTCAAAGTGAATGGATAATAATATAACTAATTTAAAATCACTATTGCATATATTATTTATATTTAATCTATAATTACATGTATGTGTTCGCATGGTAATTAAATTCCTAATGATTAGCAAATAAGAAAACAAATATACCTTTGTTTACTGCTTGGACTAAAAATATTTCCATAATAATATATTTGTAATAAGTAAATGAATAAGCAAATAAATAAATAAAAAATAAATATATAATTCACGAATTTATCTTTGATATTATTTTTATCGAAATGAGAAAAGAACAATAAAATATATGAAAAAATAACTTGTAACATATTATGGATTGCTAAGCCAAGACTATTCAATCCGGATTGACATATTCCGGTACGATTTTTAATCTTTTGAATGCACTCGTTGCTGCTATGTAATAACGTACGTGTACGTTTACTGCAAATAGGTGCTAATCCAATCCTGAAACAATCATATTGCATCTATTACAAATGAACGTTAATTAAATTAAACGAGCAAAAAATTAAATGGCAGAAAAGAATTTCTAATTTTGCTTATTTATGCAATGATTTTTATATAATTGATAATGAAAATTTTACAAAGATAATATAAAATTACAATTTATCAGTCCAATTTAGCTTAAGAATAAGACATATCAGAACTTTAAATTCAATTATAATTGTTTAATTTTGATTATTTCTTTAAAAAAAAAAACGAAAGTATAATACCTCGCAAGAGTATTTAATGGTGAATTAAATGCACATCTTTTTCCATTGGAATGAACAAATACCGTATTACTAATACAATTATCATATTTGTTGTACAAATTACAAATTCCAGAAATGATTGTTGAATTTTGTTGACTAATTTCATGCAAAAAGTTGAGACTATTTAATTCAGCTATTTTTCGATTAACTTCAACAAGTTCCACCAAACATGCTAGAGCCAAATTTTCCTTAAATTAATTGATGTATCGTTATCAAACAAATTGCTAATAGAATTTAAATTTAAAATTTTATAGAATTAGAACGATATAAATTGAATAAATATTGCATCTATTAATTTTATCACATACAGATTTATTAAATTACTCAAATGCAACTGCAAATTTTTATATAATAAAATTAATTTTTTAATTATACATTTGTAACAATTAATATAACACTACTATTCATACCTGTTCTGAACTACATCGTACATTCTTTGGATTTAATTTGAATTCATCATTACTCATTGATTTATCATCCATAATTGCTTCTGCATAACAGTGATGCACAATTAAATCATCACTCAATGCATCTTGCACTAATACAGCAACATTTTGCGCCTCAATTGTGCATACGTCAAGCATTACACGTAGCGCACAATCGATGTTATTACTAAATTGTTCCAATGCATTGCAGATTGTTTCGTTCTTTGGCTTTAATATTAATATTATTTTAAATTAAATAGAAAAACAGTGAAAGTGCAAAATCTTATTTAAATTTTTAAGTAAAATAATGCTATCATTAGATGATTTCACATTCAGTGATAAGATAGGATTATATCCTTATCAAAAGTTAATGTATTTATAAGCACCATTTAAACAACTAATTTTTACTACTAAATGTAAGAAGAGTATTGTCGAGAATGATCATTATTAGCAGCCTTAAGTGTAGAGATATTGCTATCATAATTAAAAATATTTTTATTATAATTACTAAAAGGAATACTATTTAAACACAAAAATAGGGTTTTTTGAATGAAAAAAAAAAAGATATAGAAATGAAGTTATTTCAACTTATTATTTGCATAAAATTTCAATAAAAATGATACATTCAAATCAGAAACCAAAAAGATTTCATTAAAGAATTTTTTCAATTAATCTTTGTCAGTTGTATGAGAAAGAATTTTTATTGGAACAGAAAAAATTGTTTAGAAAAAACAACAAAAAATTATTTTATTGCCATAATTAAAAATATTTTATAATAAATTTTGTTGTGTCAGAGAAGTCGAATAAACTTATTAAATGATTTATTAGAAATGGAAATAATACTATATTGTTTACCTTTTGATCACACTGTGCTAAGCCTAACGAAGCATTAATAAAGCATTCCCTCTGTTCGATTAATTTTTCTCGATGTTCACAAACTATACGATAAATTGGTTCCCATTTCGCTTCACTGATAATTTGTGAACAGATTGTATTAACTTTGGTGAACATATGCAGTATGTCATATGGTGAGCCATTAACTTTTAACTTGCTGCTTTCATCTAAAATTTCTAAAATAAAAATAAAAATGAAAAATCAGATTTGATAAATGGAGAAACACTTAAAAAGTAATTTAAAATTCACATACTAATATATTATATATTTAGTCATAATTAAAATTTAATCAAATAATTACATATTATTAATTTGCAAAAAAAAGAAAAGAAAATTTTCCTTAAAATTTGCTCTATTCTATTATATTCTATTATTCTGAGAAATCATGAAAGGATATCTTTGCTATGACAATGTAATGTCACTTATCCGCCGTTAACAATCAATCATCTCTTAATGCTTACTATTTAATTTGTTATCAAAAATAAATTACTGATATCGTTATATATTTCTATTTCTTTTAAAAAGTGAAGTTTTTGCGTTCTAAATTTTAAATTGAAAATTATTTAAACTGTCTTACAAAAGAAAACAAGCATGCAGTAATTAAATGCACAATAAATCCACAAATTATTATTATCATTATCAATAATTAAGGCATATCTCACTGTGACTTATCCTTTGTAACTAGAATGAAATACCTGTAAATTTAGAAAAGGTAGACGAAACGGTAGAAGCGGTAATGGCGGTAATATAAGAGCACGCTAATTGCGTGTACAAATGATCCGTTTCACTTTCAAGCGGTTCAATTATTTCCAAAGCATTTGTTGTGCAGTCATTCTGATTATTTCTTTGAATGCAACTTAAATCAGATCTGATTGATGCCAAAATTTGACAGATCGGTGATCCTTGAAGGTTTATATTATTGCTGCAAATATCTCTCAGTGATTTATTTATTTTTTAAAAATTGTTTTTATTTTTTCCTAATCGATATATTGCATTTTTTCTAAAATAATTCTAGAATAACTTAAATGCTTTCCTGAAAGAACGAAGATTGTCTTTGCGGGAAAGAATGATTAATTGAAAAAAAAAGTTTTCTTATCTCATCGATGGCGCAACAAATTCAATATATTAAACAAAAAAAAAAACAAAAATCATTCGATGAAATATTAAATGAATTTATTATTTAATAATAAAACTAAATCTCGTTTTACCTATATAATATGTTTGCACTTAATTTAAAAAAATTTTAAAGAATATTAAGTACAAAAAGTTAGCTTTCATATATGCTTCTATATTATTTAATTTCAAATAAAAGAAGCATTCCAAATTTCTATATTTTCATTTTTATTATTAAAAATTTGGGAGTTATGTTTTGTTTAAAAAAAAAAATTCTTTTTCTTCAGTTTTGTTCCAGCAACTCATTTTAAATTCAAATTTTTAATCTCAACTTAATCCTTCCTAATTTTATTTTCTTTGCTTTAATTTTTTTAGAACTTCAACAGAAGCAAAGTAATTCAAAAAAAGTCAGCTAACTTACACGTTAAATCTTTTTAACAGTTAATAATGATAAGTCAATTTTTTTTTTAGTAAAATTAAATGAATAATAGTTCAACAAAAATTATTAGTGATAATGTCATATCAATTACTATTTATTTTTCCATATTATTCTTTACTTTCTCAATAAAAAAGGAAAATTTTTTTGTTTTTTATTAATAATACTGAACAAATTCTGTGTGTGTTAAAAAATGAAACTAAAAATTTTAAATTTAATCATTTTACCAAATTAAATGATGCAATTGATAAGTATTTCCATTACACATTGACATTTAATAATATTTCACTTTAACAATGTTTGAAATGAATTACATAAATATTTGACTTTGAACTAGAATGAAAAGTAAGTGAATGAAATGACTTCGAATTTTAAATTTTTGTATTAATTCATTCCATTTCAATATACTTAATTTTACTATTTACCTACAACACTATTGATTTGTCCTTTTTCTATGCAAAACTTCCAAACAATTCAAAAAAATTTTCGAAATTGGTTTCTTCTAATCAGTTGAATTAAGCCTTATTAACTTCTTCAAGTGAGAACGGTCCTGGGATTAATGCAAAAGGAAATGTACGTATGTAATCGATTTGTTAAACTTTTAATTAATTAATTTTTTTTTGAAACAAAATCGTTTTTTCGTTTTTTTTTTTGCTTTCTAACATATGAAAGTTAATAAAAACAAAAAAAGACATTTAATGATATGTTTGTTCATAAAACAGTAATTAATTTCGTAAATTTTAATGAGCAATAAATTTTATAAAAGCATAAATCAATCTGTTTGATCAATTGTTAAATTTAAAAATTAGGGAAAACGTTTCTCATTGAAAATTTTCGAAACAAATACTAACAAAAGAAGCAATTTCATTTCTCTTTTAAAATACGTTCTTGATAAAATAATATTCGAAAAAAAAAAAAAAAGCAGTGCGTTATTCTTCTCGTTTTTCTTCTAACTGGAATATTTCAAATTTTGATATTAAATTGGAATATTTTTTCAAAAATTTTCATATACTTTGTGATTGCATATTGGAGAGAAAAACGAGTAGCGAAGAAAAAATTTTAAAGAAAGTTTGAAATAAACAGCAAACATAAAACAAAAATGAAATACTTGTTTCTCACAGCAAAATAGAACAAAATTTAATCTGAAAATTAGTAATAAATTTTAATTTTAAGAAAAAAACTACGAAAATATTTCTTTTTTTGGTGATTTTCTTCTCAAACTTTTTTCAAAAAGCAACAAAGAAAAAATTGAAATAAGCAGTTGAGGAGACGAAAAATAAACACAAAAATAATTGTGAAAATCGTTTAACTAAATTGGAAATTAAATGAATTATTGATATTAAATATAATAGAAATTCGCGTTTTATAACTAATTCATTCATAATTCATATACATATATTCACAAACAATCAAAATAAAATTAGAAAAAAAAAACGCTCTAAAAATTATAAATGACTTATAATAATAATTCTTTTTGACATAATTTTGAAAAAATTTCTAAAATAAAAATTAAAAAAACACTTTTTTTTTTTTTTTTGCAATAAATAATAAAAGATTTTTGGCAAAAAATTTTTGAACATAATTTCAAATAATTGAATTTTTTGAAAATAAAATAACAGAACTTACTCAATTGCACACTGTTGATTTCGAATATTTAAAAAACATTTTTTATATTCTTTAACCGATGGCATCAGTAATTGACAGGTGTACAATTCGATACTATTCCAGAGTTCAATTGATTTTGGTAGTGTACATGCACTAATATTAAGCGTTTCTGTGCAGGTTCGAAATTCTAATAATAATTCACATCCTTGATCCATTATCTGCCATCTACAAATGATTACATTTTGTGAAACGAAATTAATTTTTTAATTTCAATAGTATTTTTTTTTCGTTTTTCTTTTAAATTTCAAGTTGGAATTTTAAATCTTTGTATCACAGAGACAATTTAGAAGAGCGATTTCAACTATAATTTATATTTTATTGTTATTGCAGTAAAAAAGTTGACATTAATATCAACTTATCTATACTTTATGTTTTTTTTTTTTTTTTTTCAGAAATTATATTTGTATTATTAAAGTAAATACGAAATATTCGGAATGTAATAAGCAGTTGGATTGGAATAGAATTGATGTAGCTATTTCTATTTTGAAATGTTTATCAGTTTACCCTGAGGCTATCAGATAAATTCAAGTTATAATAAAATCTAGTTCCATTCTATTAATTCTCACAAGGATGTACATTAACAATACGAAATTTGCACTGCAAACAACAATTTAAAATTACCTTACATTGTTCCATTCCAAATTGATAATAAAATAAACATAAAATTTGTAATTACCTATGATAGTTTTATCTTTTTTCCCTGTCAGTTGTTTACAAATGGTTAATTTTTTAATGAAAAATAATCAAATAGAAATAGATAAGATTAAAAATTGAACAATTATAAGTTACAAAAAAAAAAGTTTAAACATGAAGTATCATTTATCAAATTAAAAGTCATTTGAGTAAGTTATTCGTTATTCTTATCATATCATCATAAAATATGATTATCAACTACGAGCACTATTATTTAACACTTTACAAATTATTTTATATATTTAATTTTAAATTTAATCATTCTTCTATACAATCATTTTCGATAATTCTACTTTCTTCTACTATTAATTATCACCGCTTTCCTTTCCTTATACAGCATTTATCATTGTAAACATTATCATTTCTTCACAGTTTTTTTCTTATTTCAACCTTTCATATTTCCTTTGCTGCTAACAAGCTAAAGCAACAAAAATAATTAATTAATTAATTAATTACAGAGCGAGAAAAGAAATGAAAAATAGCAAAATTTATTACTATTTTATTATTCAAATCGATAAAAATATTTATTTTTTAATGAAAAGAAAGTGGCATAATCGTAAATAATATCACTTTTATCATTTTTTGTTTGTGTTTTCTTTTGATAAAAATATTTAATTGTTGAATTATATGTAAATAAATAAGAAATTTTAAATAAAATGCTAAAAATTGGTGACAAAAAAGCTTCATTATATAATTTTGAAAATACGTTAATGGAGCTAAAATGACGAAAGAATTTTATGAGAATGTTCTTCGTTTTTTTTTTTTTTTTGAAAAATATTTGCATGCAATTTTATTAAATATTGAAATTAGCTCAATGATCTAATTTCTTCGTCATCTCATTATATTATCGGTCCTTTAATATCCTAATAACATTTTAAAATTTATTAATTGAATTTATTGATCAAAATGTATTGAAAATTAAAATAAAATTGAAGCACACTTCAATTTGCTACCATTAGGAAAAAAAGGAAAAAAATTGGTTAAATGAGATCTTAAAGAGATTTAAGACGACAAAAGCTATTTTGTTTTTTCGAACTGAACCAACTCAATCAAATCAGCAAAGTTAAATTTTTCTTATTTATTAATGCCAAAAAATTTGCTTAAATTTAATAGCCATTACGTAAGACAGTTTTTATACAAAATTTTACTATTTAAACAATATCAAAGTTGAAATTTTGCGAATTTCTAAATAATATTAAATTCAAATTTTGCAAAATCTCTGAGTAATATTAAATTTTAATCTTATTTCATTTAGCATGCTAATCTATATTCTTTGTCACAAAACTTCCTTTTACTAATTAAAACTTTTCATTAATCTTTTTATCATTTTTGACCTTTATAAGCGAATGACAACGAAACTTTTCTCAGGTATATTTGTAAAAAGAGAGACATTGAACTTAGCAGCCTTGAAATTTCATTTCGAAAAAAAAAAGGAAGAAGAAAAAATGATTAAGAATGATTGTCGTCATTTACAATCAAGGTCATTTTTCTTTTTTAATTACAAATTAAATATTTTAGCTGAAAAAGTTAAAAAATCGGTTAACATTTTTGTTATGAACGTTTAAAATTAAATTGTACTTTTTTTGCCAATTTTCAAATAAAACATTCCATAATTTTTCGTTTCTTTTTTTTTTTTAAAAATTTTGATTAAGAAAATAAAAGAATGAATTGAGCTTTATAAGATGAATTGATGAATTGAATGATTTGTTATATATTAGAATTATAATAATTCATTATATACGGAAGGCATAAATTTAAAAAAAATGCATTTAATAGTAATTTATGATAAAAGGTCACAGAGAAAAACAAGAAAAAAAATTTCTAGAAAGTATTCACGAAAATTTTGAAAACTAAATTTAATTTTTGAATTTTTAAATCGACTTGTTTCAATACTATAAATTAATTTTCTTTCAATAGTATAATTAAGAGATCTGAGTTCACTTTTTTTTATTGGAGAAAGTCTTTTTCTATTCGAAGTAATCAAATATTTTCATCGCTAAAGCTAAAATAAATCATATTTGCATCTTTTGACATATTTTACATAAATTTTATTTTTCAAAAATTTTCTGTAAAAAAAAAAAAACAAAAGAAAAAGAGTGAATGCTTTGAAAAAATGAGGAAAAGAGCAAAAATTCATTTATATTTTCTTGATGTTATATCATTTTTTCTTTTTTCCTGATTATGTTTACCACAGTGGAAGGGTAAAAATTCCCTTTTTTAAACGATATTGCTCAAAAAATGAATTTTTTTTACCCAAAAATTTTTTAAAATCAGTTTGCTACAATTTAAAGTAATTTATTACAAATAAAATCCATTCTTTTTCTTTTTGCATCTGATATTGTGTATTATAATGTTTCATATTATATTTCAGGAAAAAAGAAATTACTATTTCAGTATTTCACTATGATGATTTCACTAATATTTTACAATTTATTAATTAGTAATAATGTTTACTTTACTTTACTTTACTAAAACTTGTAATTATCGCAAAAAAAAAAAAATTATTTCATTATGGGAGCTATTACTATGAAGCAATTAAAATTATTTATTTCTCGTCAAAAAAGTTTTTTTTTTCCTTTCTAATTTGATGTAAATCAATTATATTTTTAATTTTGGATTTTATTACAAAAAGATAATAATTTAGTATAAAAGCGCTTTAATTTCACTGTTAAAAAATTAACAAAAATTGGTAAAAAAAAAAATTATCAAAATAGTACTAAAATTTAAACTTATAAAATTAAAATAAAAATTAGTTTTGACTAATTACTAAACACAATATCTCTTATTTCCTTTACCTTGTTTCATCATTTAGCATGGATGAATTTGTCATATCAATGTCATCTAAATGTTCCATCCAGTCGGTAAGATCTGTAGAACATTGATTTACTCTTGTTTGTACAATATTCGAGCAACCATATGCATATGACTGATGACTTTTTGTCTCTTCTTCAGATCGCAGTAATGGTGAGATCGAAAATGGTAACTGATCAATGGATGAAAATGTTACAATACGATCAAACGGATCGTCGAAGATTTCTTCGGCAGTGGTGGAATATTCGACACTAAGTGCACCTGTCTGGATTGACTGCGTGGTAGACTGGATGTGTTCATCTGATAAGTCGTCACAGTCCACTTCACCGTCGTCGATCCAATCTTTAGGAATACAAGAACCATCGCCGCATCGGAATGTGTTTGATGGACATTGATGTTGACGTATGATCGAATTTCGATTCTTTACTCTTATTTTAGATGAAACATGTACAGCGGTATCCAAATTATGACCAATAATACTAGGTATTTGGGCAGCTGCACCAGAATTTAATTGAATATCCGCTGTATTTGAGATTATCGGATGTTGGGTGACAGTGGCCAAACATAACGATGGCAAAATTAAAAATACCCTTTTGTTCGGAAATCGCACTGTTATTGATGAATGTAATAAAGCTGACGAAATGAACAACAATAAGATCATAATAATAATAATAATATAATTTTATAGAGAATTGCTGCTACTACTGTCGATCGTGTCACTATCATACATCACATTGGCAGTTTCATCCACCGCAAATATACGCAAACCTGTGGCATACGCCAAAATTCGGCAACCAAACTGTCATCTTCGTCTGTTGATGATGGGTTGGTCGTTTGGTTGATGGCAAAATCACCGCGATGGCCCTAAGGGGAGGAAAAACCTTTGACGGTGTTATTACTTTCCCAGCAAATGGGCCATCATTCCCCGCCCATCGACCGATCAACCGATCGGTGAGTGACCCAACAATTCCCTCTTCCATTTTTAACCCAAAGGGCTAAAAATATATCCTTCTCCTATTCTTCCTGCACTGATACTACTAATAGTAGGATAATAATAGTTGTTCCTATTATTGCAGCTGTTCTAGTTGATGATAATAATAATGTTAATGATAATGATAATAATGATGAAAGTAGTATGGATAACAGTGATATCAAAAAGATCAAATAAGTTAAATGAATTTGTGTTCTAAGGTTGATGTCTTCTGATCTCGATCACTCACATTTAGATTTGAAAGTTAGTTGTTCTTTGGTTGCTTTAAAAATTTTTTTCCTATATTTCTTGCTTTTAAAACAACAAAAAGAATAAATTCAGAGAACGATTGATTCAATCGAATAAAATATCTCAATTTTTTGTGTAAGAACAAAAGTAACTTTATGCCAGTATGAAATAAATGGCTTAAATTTCTTAACAATAGAAAATTCATTCATTTAAATTTCAGTTCATTTAGGATTGAATTATTAGAACATAATAATCATATATTTATGCTAACGATTATAATGTGTGCATACTCAATATTTCAGGTTTTTTTATTTTAGTTCCGTAAAAGCAATATTAAAAAGAAGGTTCTCTATTCATTTCATTAATTGTCCTTTGAATTCAGTATAATAAGAAAAGTGCTTATTTGAAATATTCTTGATTAATAAGTTTGATTCTTTTAACAAAATCGAAACTGGCATTTTGATATTTAATTTCCTGAATTCATATCCTGAAAACAATAAATGATACTATTATAACGATTAATGAATGATTTATTAGAAAGATTATAAATAGCATAAAAATATTGTCTTATGCTATTTGTAACTTTTAGTAAATATAAAGTTTATGAGGAAATTAACTATTTTTTACTGATTAATTAATTAATTTTCTGTCAATTCTTCTCATTAACGCATCTAAAATTATTGTTTTATTAATGAAAAAAGAAAAGATTAAAGAATTTCAAGGAAAATTTTTTCATTATTTCTGATTAATATTTAAAATTTATTAGCATTTAATTAAGGTCCAAATAAGAAAAATGAAAAAATTTTTGTTTTAATAAGAATTTTAATTTAAGCTGGTATTATTGGAATGAAAGTAGACATAAATTAAAACATTTATTCTATAATTAAAAAAGAAATTAAAGGAAACTTGTTTTAAATGATGGTATTACAAAAATTGAATTTCTTAACAAAAAAGAAAAATATTCCGATAGATGGAACGAAGATATATTATTCCCTTAATCTAAGATTTTGTGAGAAAGGATGGATGAGGAAGCAATAAAATGGAATGACATGCAATTGTCAAATTTTGATAATTACAATCCTTACTCATTTTTCGATTTACTAACAACAATTTTAGATGAAAATTGAATATAAATACTTATAAAATGCTCATTTTTTACTACAATAAGTCAGAAATTGAATAAATATAATAAAAGTAACTGAAAGTTAATTACAATTGGAAATTCTAAGCAGATCTGACGATGATCTTTTGAAGTAATTTATTCATAAGGTATTTTCCTTTATCATTTTTTAAAATAATAGCCGATGATTCGTATTTGTTATCAGTAAATTATTCCATAATAATTTAAGTGGGAGGATTATGAAGTTTGCAGCACTTCTAAAAATGCTAGCATAGAAAAAGTTTTTATGATAATATTTTGATTTTAAAAAATGGAACTTATATTTATTATAAATTTTATTTAGAGTTTGTTGCTGTGACACTGAATGACCAGCAAATTAAATCGTAAAAATTAAATTTTTTGCTTTTAGCAATAATTCATCTTTTGAATTAAACTTCATTATTTCCTAGAAATTTTTTCTCACTACTGAAACGTTAAATTAAAAAAATCTTTTTTTTTTCATAAATTTTTGAAATCATAAAAGTACGAAACACTTTTATTCCAAAAAGATTTTTTTTTTTCTTTTATTTCCTAATTATTGTGACCTTCATAATATTAATGACTTCTAATAAAAAAAAGATCACAAGTTATATTTTAGAAATGCATTTAAAAATGAGAAATTTGTCCTTGAAATCAATATCATTAAAATAACAAAAAAAAAAAGGAAAGAAAAAACTTAGTGCTTAATAGACAGAGACAATCATAAATGACAGGGATTGGAAAAAAACCAAAACCGAAGGAAAATTATCAGACAGTGAATGTTAAGATAAAAATTGATAAGTGATCTTCCATGATATAATATCAATTATTACGAGAATACTTGCAATATCCTACAGTAGTGATTAAAATTTCAAAATTTGAAATTTTTAAACAATTATTTCGATTAACTGATGACTTAATAGTTTTCTAATATTTTATAATGCAATTTATTTCTCGGTTATATGAAATTTCAAATTGTTGAAAAATTCTAAAAAGATAATCTATAATTTCAATATTAGTTGAAAACTAATATCATTTTTTACTTATTTTTTTTATTTCGAATTAAATATGAGTTTTAGAAATTTACATTATGAACAGGAGCATGCTAATAAATATTGTTATGCTGAAATGCTATTGGCAATTTATTGGATGGCTTCCACTAATTAAGATATTAGTTTAAGGTAATCTACTAAATAAGGCATTAACTAATAATGTAACTTGAACGTTAATGAAGTATGTGAAATTATTTTTGTTGACAAATAATATGCAATAATATGTATTATTTTTTTTTTGTTGACAAGTAATATGCAATAATATGTATTATTTTTTTTTGTTGACAAATAATATGCAATAATATTTAGAACAATTCTATAATTCAGTTATGATTCATCAAATATGTGTTTTCTCCATTTTTTTGTAGAATTTGTAGAGCATATAAGGAGTTGAGTTATCAAAAGTATTGCAGGTAGTTAGTGAAACGCACTCGAAAAGGAAAACATTCCATTATCTGAAATACTTGCTATCTCTCCTGCAGATAAAACCACTAAATATTTAATGAAATACCATTTCATAATTAAAAAACTTGCTCAGAATTAATGATATTTTCAAATCATTTCTCTTTCTCAATTTACTTGCAAAATTTTTGTTTCTATGATGAAAAGAGATGAAACGAACGGATTTACGAATGTCACTTAAATATCTTTCATCAATATGAAAATAAAAAAGAAATGAAATTTTTTTCTTCTTCCGACAACATTATAACTTATTTTATTAGGACAGGTGAAAAAGGTGGTGCAGATGCATTTCCTTTAAAGTTCAAATTTTCCAATGTGCAAAAATTATAAGTCAAACTACAAAATGGAATTTCATTAAATAGAAAATCAAAATATATTAATGTTTGCAATCTATGTGCAACATTTAGAGGATTTTCATGTATTTACAATGTGCAGAAATGAATTTGGAAAAATTTAAAAAAAAAACCTAACTTTCTCCTTGGCAAAAACCAGCACTTGCAAATGTGTGATCTGAGTGCAACAAAAGCTTTTGCTGCTGCATTAAAAATTTGAGACAAATCGCTGAATAGAATTAATGTTATTAACGCTTATAGCATATTAAACGTTCATTTCAAAAATGCTTTGAAAAAATATGTCGCACTTCTAGATTAAAAATTTTAAAAATTAAAAATTTTTAAAAATTTTCTTTCGACCATTCAAAAATTAAAAAATCAGTAATAAAGTTACGTTTCAGTTTTTTTTTTTTTTGCGAATTAAAATTTATGAATTTGTCCTCTATTTCCTGTAAAAAAATACGATACGTAATTATGAATTGCGGTTTCTTCTTTTAAGTGAAAAAAAAAAACCAGAATTCAAGTTAGGAATCGAATATTACATTTTTCTGAGTTTTTTTATGTTCTGTTTTGAAACGCTTTTTTCAGCTTTGTTGCAATGATAATATGATATCAGAATAATTGTGGGAAAACAACCTTTGAAAATCAACCCTTGAATTTTATTTAATGCATATCCATTTAATTCATTCATGAATTATTGGTAATGAATTATCCAAAAGTTTTAAACTTCATTTTCCATCTTCATATCATTCACGGTATCGGCTTTTTCTATTCTTGTGAAAAAATATAAGAACTGATTGTTTGGGTATCACTCACATATGTTTGATTTTATCCATCGGAAGAGTGCACCAGTGTCACCTTACCATCCATGTCGCCTTAGATCCATTACTACTTTAATTATAATCTATTATATTATGACATCGAAATTATTGAATACCATCTTTTGAATATTTAATTCAGTGGAAAAGTTGAGATAAACATTAAAAGTTAATCCAGACTTTCTATTGACCAATAACAAATTATTACTATTTGTTGATGAATTCCTGACGTAATGCCAACTGAAGAACAATACAACAAACCTGTAAATAAATTTGTATTTGCTTTCATTTCAAGTTTAAAATTTATTTTAGAATCTTGGAAGATATTACAATTTCCAATTACAAATGATATTTTAACAATTTAAATGTCAATGAATTATTTTCATCAGATGCAAATAATTCCAGAAAGAATTGCTATAGGCGGCGATGCAAGGAAATATAAAGAAGAAAAGGTAATTTTTAGTAGATGGAACAAATCTCTCACCCATCTAAGGTATTCGAAATTTGCCAACAAATTGTAGTCGCAGCAAATAAGGCCCATTTATTGGTGAGAAAATGTGGGCCAACATTAAAGAAAATACCAACTATCATAATTGTAAACCCACTGGTACACGACTGCAATGAAAAAACAATTTATGAATGCATGATGGATGGCCAATTGTTGTAGACTTTCTAGCCAAAGTAGTTGTAATATTTATCACAGTTTGTTGTTTAGTTTAATGATTCACTCAATAATGCTAATATTTGCGTGCTTGCCTGTTTAAAAAAACCTATGTCACGATTGCGATTGATAGAACGTGTTATCAGTTGGTCTACTTTCATTTTTCTTGACTGAAAAAAGTTAAGTTTATTGAGATAAGAAAAATTTGCTCGGAAAATATTTTCAGTCTAAACAGTTAGTTCATTTTGGTTCCAAGCATACAAGTGGACCAGGTGGGAAATAAATGTTTTATATTTTCTGAAGAATTGGGTTATCAAACAGTTAACAACGCATTTTAAGTATTAATTAAACTCTTTCATTGCAACTAATTAATGAGACAACCGTGAATCGTAACTTTACTGTAATTTCTAATCCTAAAAAGCGTTATAAAGTTAATGCATCCCGCTGTGGTCAGCGTTGAAATACAGAATATTAGGTCAAACATTGAATTAATATAACCACAACTTGTATTACTGTAGCTCCAGCGCAAATCCAATTCCATATTAAAAATGAGAGTACAGGGCTCTGTAAGCATAAGTTATAAAGTTGATGCATCATTATTTATTGGTTGATATCAAGCTTCTGAAATGTTGAACTTCAATTCCGGTAAGCCATTTTCTTTCACTGATAATATTTATCATTTTTATAAATTGCACTTCACTTTGCTAAAAAATGAAAGCTTTACCAAAAATGCTTGGAAAACATGGAAGAAACCCAAGAAAATAAGCAATAATTGCTGCTATACGAGCTTTCTGCACAGACCAAAAAGAATGATATTTGAGAGGATGTGTAAGAGCGCAGTATCTATTTACCGCAATTAACAAATTCAGCAATAATGATCCGTAAAAAGATACATTAGCAAAGCATCCGGGTATTAAGGCAATGGGAGATGTCTGCGATGATAACTCACGTGAATTCCTGGAAACGGTTGATTCAACACAGCAAAAATTAGTAGTTGTCAAATTAAAATTCCGATTTGTTTTCACGGATAACTGAAATTAAGCGCAAAAAGAAGTGTTACGTTAGTAGGACAACAGCTCCCCAAATTAGTATAACTGCCATCGTTTGTATATTACACAACAAAATCGCCGTACAAAGAGTGCCATAAGCATTCCGAAAATGTGAATTTGTGACTGTGAGATGAAGTGATAAACCATTGCTGACAAAGCCAAGCAATGACACCTGTTTTAAAGTAGAAATTAAATAAAATTTGACATTAAATTCAAAATGGAATTATATCTTTTTAGAGTAATTCATTAACTAATTTTTAAAAATCTCAAAATGATAAGTATTAATTTAAATTCTCTAAGATATCCAACGTAGGATAATGTATTGACTAAATTATGTTGCACTTGACAAAAATCATCTTTTCACAAATAATTTGTCACTAAATTTTCAACATTAAATACGACTTACTAAATGATTTATGAACATTCTGCTATTTATTTTTTTCAAGAGAAAACATTGTTTTTTTTTTCTATTACTTATTTTTTTAAAAAAAACTTTGGTTTTTTGGAGAAGCATAAATGTAGTAAAAATCGAACTTACTACAAAAATAATGAGTAATGCCAACATATTTTCCGTTACACTAGGCTTTGTATCCGCCATTAAATTTTTCGGATTTAATAGAGTAATCTTAAAAATTCAAAAAAGGAAACAAATAAACACAAATTTATGAAAAGAGAAAATGAGTTCAAATTAAAGAACAGATCATTGCATTATAATTTTGATGCGAAGACAAAATAAATGATATGCCCCAAATAAGCAATTACCGTTTTTTGGCAAAGTTTTTATTAATTTTGTAACTTTCAGCAATTATCAAATTACAATAGCAGTAATTTCAATTCAATTTCAGAACACCCTAATCGACTGTAAGATATGAATGACGAACTTCATCTTCCATGAATTCTTTAGTTGGTATGTAATTTAACAATCAACTGGGAAGGGGATGAACACTTGGAATGTTTGCTTGAAATAATATTTTTCAAATCCCAAATTGTAAATAGAAAAATTAGTGCGTGAAGTTACAACGACAGCTTATCTACGGGTGGTTGAGTGAGAATCAATGACTGAGGAAAAAGTTTGAAAAATTATTTAACTATTATATTTAGAAGGCCAGAATTGAAATAAAAATGAAAGGGCAATGAAAGTTTTCTAATATTATAATCCATTAGGTGACTATAACGCAATTCATAAAATATTCTCATTTGCACTTAAATTTCATTATTATTGCTACTACAACTCAACATTGGAAAACTAAATTTTAAAATTTATAGTTCTTTATTTTTCATTAAAATTTAAGATTTGATGTAAAAAAATTTCAAAAATGATTGGCTAACAAGTCCTTATTATCTCTGAATAAAATAATTGTGTGTCAAATATTATTACACTAAATTCTCTCAGCATCGGTTTTTGTTTTCATACAATTTCATTCCTTCATAAAGCGGCTAGTATTTTTTAATAAAATGAAATATTCTTTCGGTTGGTTATTTTGATCGTACAGTTATTTTTGGCCAATTTATATATATTAATTAATTAATGAATTAATTAATTAATTCCACAACGTCTGCATGTTTTGCTCCATAAATGCCTTATCTTTATTGCATAATACGCTTCTTTTATGTAATTATGCGTTAATTAATGCTTCAGAGAATTGATTATACCTGTTTAAAAGGATTGAAGCTCTCGATTTCTGCCTATATAGTGTATCAAATATTTATTTATGAATTTTGTAACAAAAAATTTAATTTGCAAATACAATTGTAATCCATTTGAATTACCATTCTTTCTTGTGGTATACTATGCCAAGTGATAAAGAGCATTGATAAAGGTGAATAGGAGTTGATGAAGAGAAAAATATGGGAGAAGCAAAAAAGGAGAGTGATAAGAGTGAGGCGGAAGAAAAAGCATACTGTAGTGAACATGATAAAGGAAAGTTTGAAAAAGAGTATGGAAAAGTAGAAATATAGAAGGCAATGAGGAGATATCGCCTGATAAGCTTGATAACTAATGTCTTTTGTCACAGTTTAATATCGTCAGCTGATCTATGTGACAATTCGACATTTCGAGTATTTACGTTCACTTCGAGTACTATGGGATTATTTCAAAAATGAAAATGAATTTCTTTTTTTCCAACATTTCTATTTTACCAACATTTCTATCTTCATTTCCAAAATGGAAGATTTTTGGTTACAAAAACAAAAATTTGTAATCAATATGTCATCTATAAACTACAACAAATTGGTCATTTCAAAATTTTGCTACTTTAATTTTGAAACTAAATCACTCATAAATATTCAGAACAATTTTTTACTTCCTACTGTTTTGATTCTGAAGTAAATTCAATAGAAATGCAAAAATGCGACCTAAATTATTTGTATGCAAGCATACAAGAATTCATCGTGAATGAAAGAAAGAAAACGTAAGTGAATAGTTCATATGCAGGAAGTTCAAGTATAGATCTGTTAAGGAACTATTGATAATGATTATATCAGTGAGAAACGACCGATGCATCCCAATATAAGATTATATTGAGGTTGCATATTGTTGAAAAGATAAACATTTATTGAATAACACGTAAAAATTGCTGCAAGAAGTACTTATACTCGAAGTTCATTTGATGTCTTAATAATTCCATCACAAAGATCTCAATACGAATAAATTAATGAATGTATTTGGTAAATAAAATCATTGATGGATTAGTGGAACAGAAAGAAGGTATATTTTAAGATATATTTTCAGCAGTATCGAACAGCTATTTAGTTAAAGAAACTGAATTAGTTAAAGTTCCTTCATCGAGAAACAGCTTATATATGTAGCGAAATATTATCATATCGAAGAGTGCAAAGGTAAATTATTAATTCTTCAGACTTCCGTCAATGCAAGAATCAGAAAATAAACTTTACGAACTGATACGTACCGCACGTCTAATGCATTTGTGGCTGCTTCAAATATGGCTAATTTGTAAATTATCTTTATGTTTACTGATAAATTCTTCATGCTTTTTATAAAATAACGAGAATTGATTCAAAATTGTTAATAATAGCCTGTTTCTAATGTTATCAGTTATCACTGATTTTTTTTCTAAATATTACAAAAGAAACTTAAATTCTGGGAGCTATTTAAAACCCTTCTTTGTAATTCAAAAAAGAAGCAGTTCTGGAAAAAAAAAATGGAATTAGACAGTAAGGACATAAAAGTAAAATAAATCACATATCCAATTAAATAACTTCTTACTTTCTCGACAGATTTTTAAGACAGACATTTTAGTTTTTAAGTTTAATTTTTAAGTCAATCCTATTTTGATTGCTAATGGAAAAGTATAATTTATAAAAGCTTTAAATACAGACAACTGTTCCAAGAAACTAGCGTATGACAAATTAAATTTAGCACATCGTGAATTCATTAGTCGCTATTTTCTATGTTTAAAATTTGTTCAATAGCAATTTTTAATTGAAGTTGTATCTTATCATCTTATTTATGCCCTTATCTTCATTAAATCTTACTTATCTTCAAAAGTTATAACGTTTAGTTCATTAGTCATTTCTACATAATCAGTTCGTTTTGATTTTTTCCCATTCAGTATATATTTATTTTGTCTATTATATTTCAAATATGTCAGATTAAGCAACAATATTCTGATAAGACGAAGACAAGCAAAAAGTGTAAATAGATGGTTTATCAATTAAAATTTTTTTTAAGATCAGATGTGAGTAACATTTGCTATGGACACATTCAGAACTGAATATTTCAAATCTATATTGCTTTAAAATTTAGTTTGTGTATCACTGTTACTAAAATGAAACAATATTAGCGTCTTTTTCAACTTCAAATATAATATTGATGTTTGAAAAAAAAAAGAACTATTTATTACTAGTTCAATAATCAAAAATGTCAACAAAATCTTGAAAAAAACCGGAATTATTTTTCGAGGTTTTTCAAATCTTGAAGAATTTCATTTCATGATTAGTAATTTTTTTAATTTTTGAGCTAAATAAAAACTATTCTCTGAAGAAGAAAAAATATTCATCAATCCCAAAAAAGAGAAAACAATAAAGCAAAGATAACTGCAAGAAGCTCACATGGGAATAATTCTTCTCTCATTGAACTATTTTCTACTTAATAATAATAATAAATATACCTTTTCAAGTAGGTATAAAAAATGAAAAGCTATGAAGAAAAAAGATTAACGAATTAGGTATGTGAGACAGTAAATTTTCTGGAAAAAAAGTTATTCTTGCAGGGTGCATGCAGAAAGTGAGTAATGGAATTGAAATAAACAATCATAGCTAAAGAAAGCGAAACAAGCGATAATTACAATGATCAAAGAGCTTTCATATGATCAATTAAACAAAACACAAGTAAGAGAGAGTTTGCAAGATTAATCATCTCTTATTTAAATTTACCAAGGATCGGGATTGCCAAGGATGCGGGATGTTATTTAATCATTTTGAACTTACTTACTGAAAAAGCGAAGCAAGTGATAATTTTTATTTGAGCCACGTTAATCGAACATCATTTTTTTCATACAACGAACGCCTTTCTGGTAATTACAGTAATAAGTCTTTGTGAAAATATTAACATCGGGATGTAAATCAAGTGATAAAATTTATCAGTCAAAACAGTGATTGATAAATTTTTTTGCATATAGTGAGCCTTAGCCTTTTGACATGAAAATTGGTGCGATAAAGCTAATAGCTAAACAAACGAAAAATTAGCCAAAGTGTACAAATTAATTTTTTTTCTTAATTTTGAAAAATTTTGGTAAAAAATTAAGAAAAGTATGTTTTTGTTTTTGGTCTCGATATACAAATAATGATCAAGGTTTAAACCTTGAACTGGTTGCGAAAAGTTGTTGTATTTTCCTTCTTGTATACTTACTTTTTTTCTGTTTGTGGTCTTTAGTGCTTTTATTTTATATGTCCAAATATTTCTTTGTAACCTTAGCACCCATAAAATCCCTCCCAATTTTCTTCCTTACAAAGCCATTCATTATAGTTCTTTGTTTGGTATGGCTCGGTTGCGAGGTGTCTAGCTTGCTTATATCTTTAAATGTTTTATAATTGAGTTACATTTGTGTGTTATGTATCAATTCATTATTGTAATGTTGTATAATTTTTAATGTTAATCTGTGGTTTAATAACCCAACTTTGAGATTTGAATAATAAAGTGTTTCACGAAGACTCTCACAGTACACTTACACAGAACGGAATCAGTACAAACTCGAGATTCTACCAGTATCGAGGACAAAAAAGTCAACCATCAAGAAAGGAAACCTACTTTGTTTAACAAGAAAACAGGATAGTAAGAAAGAAATTCTAAATTTGCTTTTACAGATGTATATTTAGGGATAGCAAATATTTTTTGGAAATTAAGGGTTTGTTTTAAAAATTATTCCTATGAAATCATTTTTTATTTGTTTGCTCCTTTTTTTGGTTTTAATAATAATGTTTCTAATTTTGATCCTTTTTCTTTTATTTTCCTTTTATTGTGGTTCCCTCCTAAGAAGTAACTAGTAAGAAATTTAATGCAGAATGTTCAAAATTGATCTTGCTTCATTATTTTTCGACAAATATGATTGTTCTGGAGTAGGAAATCAAAAAAATGAG